TAGAGGGCCTACAATAATGTACAGTATTTGAAAAATAATGTGTTTTTTGAACATTAAAGCATGTCAACATATTCTGTTACACCAAATACACAAAATAATGATCTTTAAAAAAGCATCATATGACCCCTTTAAAAAAATCCAATTCAAATAAATGCTGTTGATTTTATCGTTCTATTCAGCAAAGAATCCCGGAAAATTGTATCATGGTTTTCACAAAAAATATTAAGGAGCACAGTTGCTTTTAACAAAAACATATTAAGCAAAAACATCAAATGAGAAAAGAGAAAAGAGTACATATTTCAAACTGTTTTTAATGCATTTGTTTGATAAAATGGCAAAAACATTGAAAAATCATACCAAACCCAAATGGTGGCATTTTTTTTAAACACTGTTTGCAGTGAAAACTTGAATGAGAGGAGACAGATTTTGCATTCAGTTGGAATGTGATCGGACACTCACACATGGGTTTCAGCTGGCCAATGAGTTCCTCCTTCGTCCATTTGGCCCATTCTTTCTTGTCTGTATTGATGGAGCACAGGATGGGCCCACATGGCTTCCCACAATCCTCGATAGCTGGCACATTCAGGTAGTGGACCAGCACAATGTCTGGGTTCTGGGAAAAGGATAGGACCAAGAGAGAGAAAGTGGGGGGAAAAAAAAGAAGATGTGGTGTGACGAGTGGAAAGGTCTGACTGAAGCAGCAGTAGTACCCTGGAAACACAGATGATGGAGCAACAACGCATACACATACATCAAAATAATTTGTTAATACATGTTTAGCGCTATCTAGCATATTTGGCAGCTAGCCAGCACACTTTAGCACATTAGTGGAGTGACACTGACACAGGATGAAATTAAGTGAAATATGTCATTCTTTGCCTGTTCTTCTCCATCATTCAAGGAATTATTGTTAGAAAACACACAAATGTCTCTTCTGAATAAAATAGCTTAGAGTCTGCTTTCCACAGACAGTACTAGCACAACCTTAATTGCACAGGCAAATATCGCTGAGTCTTGTGAATAAGGTGTAATCTATAATAAGTTTAATTTACATAGAAAAGAGGCGTGTTTGTGCTGAAAAGAATGACAATGATTTAATTTAAATACACACGGCGGCGCCTGGTTAAGCCAAAAGCGGTGAATAAAACAGTTTGTGCACAAAAGTGCTGCAGCTGTTTACTTATAGTATGTAGTGCCAAAGTTATTCACAGAGAGGATAAAACCAAGGACAAAACATCCCAAACAGGGATCTTCATGTGAACATGTGTGGGGCTTAAAGCACCTGATTTTTTTGTAACATTGCAGTTGTCAACTCAAAGTAAGGGTATACACACACACACACAAACAAATTCTGTTAATTTGAAGTTAGCAAGTGTTTGCTGGACACATTTTGACAGCTTATGAATAAAAGCGTTGTTTAAGGCATGTCTAGCCAGAGTGAATAACATCAATTCTGTTCTGTAAATCAGAAATAAATTGCGATGATTACAAAGTACTGTAAACAGTCACAGAACAAGCAGTCCCCTGTCACCACAGAGATTACACACACACACACTAACAAAATCCCACTTGTTCCAGGACACCAGCATTTGAATGTCACCTGAAACGCAGATACATAACACATTCACAAATCGAATCTGTACACTGAAACAGTGAAGAAAACTGTCCCTTTCATTAGCATTTTTATTAGTTTTATGAGCATTACGTGCTGAGTGAATTGGGGGCTGCGGTTCTGCACTGCCTCCCGGCCTGCAGCATTACACTTCGACGTACATGTACAAAATCTATGCGTACTGCATGCTCAATGGAGTAATACACACAAAGAAAGACATTCATACAGCCGCTGGCACTTTTACAGAGAGCACCATGGTAACCACACTTGATCATGGCCATGTCCGAAAGCTAATAAATACTGCCTTTTTTTAGCCACAATGTTTGCACAACATTCTGTCTTAACTGCAATGATACATTCACCTCGTCAGAAGTCTCCAGCCCCTGCCCCTTTTTCGGACCGAACTAGGCGCCCCAGACTGCAATTTTGCCCCATCCATTTTTCATTCTATCCTGACAAGTGCTCCAGTCCCTGCTGCAGAGAAACACCCCATAACAGGATATCAGCACATCCATGCTTTACTGTAGGAATGCTGTTATTTGGATGGTGAGCTGTATTGGATTTCCGCCAGGCATATCGTTTGGTGTTGAGGCCAAATAACTCTGTTTTAGTCTCATCTGCATCTGAATCTTCAAGGTGCATTTTGCCAAAGCTCAGTCGTGACTGCATGTGGCCTTTTTTGTGGAGTGGCTTTTTTCTTGCAACCCTTCCATACAAGCCACATTTGTGGAGAATTTGTGATATTGTTGTTACATGCACATAGTGACTACTCTTTGAAATAAAATTCCTGCAACTGCTTCAGAGTTGCTGTAGGCCTCTTGTTAGCCTCTCTGACCAGTTTCCTCCTGGCACTTTCATCCAGTGTGGAGCGACGTCCTGATCCAGGGAGGGTCTGTGTTGTACCAAATACCTTCCATAGACTTCTAGGCATTGATAAAGCCTTTTAATTTTTTTGTATCCATCCACAGTTGATTGTTTGCTTCAGTTGCACTACCAAGAACTGAAACGCTGCAGGAAAGCTTTCATGCTGAGCTAATCAAAATGACCACAGATGAAAGTCAAATGGCTTCGTGTGCCATTGAGAAGGTGATTTGCTCCACCTGATTGAGTTCACAAGTCATTTTTAGGAGGGGGGGTGATTCTGTTTCCAATGCAGTGATTCTGTTTTTTCTTTTCTGACATGTTGATGTTATGTCTTTCACTTAGGTGTTATAAGTTTCACTGAGTAAACACAGATAATAAAAAAAGAGTCCGTCTTTATTTTAGGCTGCAAAGCAACAAAATGTGATTATTTTAAAAGGGGTGATTATTTTCTATATCCACTGTATAACCCAGTAATTTCACAAAAAGTGAAAAGTCAACCAAAAAGAAGTAGTCAACAAACTAACAGTCTTTATTAATAAATCCACTGGGAATACTCAACAAATCAAATTAAACAAGGAACACAGAATTAAACCAAAACAGAAAATAACCCTGACACAAAAATACAGTTTATTTTTATATTAAATAATTTCTTGATTTTTCGTTTGATTTTGGGGTGAATTATGACCCAGACATTTCTTGTGACATTTACCAATATAAGAGAAACCCAGGCCAAACATTTTCAGAGGGATAGATAATGCACAAATGAGCCAAGACATCATAGTGCCTTGGAAATCTGGTCTAAAACCAGTGTCCTTAGAAGGTAACTTTACACTAAATGCTGCCTGTTTAGCTGTTGATGGAAGCTGCTTTAGTTTCAGACACAGCTTGTGTCATACTAGACATCTCTGAACCCCTCTATTATGGTGCTGTTGACCAGGTTCAGACTGATATTTCCTCTCTCAAACAGTCTTCTGACTACAACTGAATGGACTACAAATCACAATTAGAAAGAGCATTGACAATCTCTGTGTGGGACTAACAAGCCTTGAACAGTGACCACAGAGAGAGGGGACAAAATCTGCAGGACGGAAAAGTGCGACAGAACAAATCAAAAGCTAAATTTTGAGTGCTCAAAATCAAACAGCCCTGTAATTCACAGCGAGAACTTTTGATTGAACTCTTCAACCAGCACACTTGATATTCAAAGTGAATGTGTCAAGGTGTTTGAACAGCACCTTTGATGGATTAAAAGGAAAATATTTGATTTAAAATTTAAATCCATAGGAAATCTGTCTTCATGAGAGGATTTTAAGAGTAAGTTCTGGTGTACTATTCTCTTTTAAGTGGATGGAGGGAGCGTGCGGGACAGGCTCTTGGTTGGGGAGGGCGAGCTGAGGAGGCTCAGGCATGGCTCCTGCTGCTATAGCTATGAGCTTGTGGAAGCAGACACCAGCACTACATCCCCATATGGCACAAGCAGCTGTGGTGATCACCAGGCCATGCCCTCAATCCTTAACCAGCATGAGAAGGGTAAGTAAAACCCAGACAAACATAAAAAACATTCTCATGCATATAACGGTGAAGCTGTATGGGTCAAAATGCCTGGTTATATTTTACCCCAAAATTAAAAGAAAAAAATGAGATAAATATAAAGTACATATTTATACAGTATATAAAAATACGTTTTGCTTAAAGAAAATTTCCCCCCCATTATTTTCATGATAATGAAGCACATTTAAACCTCCATTCATAATTTTCAAATTTTATCCACGCCGCACTGATGCAGTAATTCATGCAAAAGGAGGCCCAACCAAGTATTGAGTACATGTACAGTAAATGAACATACTTTCCAGAAGGCCAACAATTCACTAAAAATGTTTTTTTTATTGGTCTTATGAAGTATTCTAATTTGTTGAGATAGTGAATTGGTGGGTTTTTGTGAAATGTGAGCCAAAATTATCACAATTAAAAGACTTAAACTACTTTAGTCTGTGTGCATTGAATTTATTTAATACATGAGTTTCACAATTTGAGTTGAATTACTGAAACAAATGAACTTTTCCACGACATTCTAATTTATTGAGATGAACCTGTATAATACGATTTATTTATTAATAAATGATTTCAATAAAAAAATTATTTAAACACACACACACACACACACACACACACACAGACATATATACATACAAAAAACTTTACAATGTAATAATAATAATATTTATTATTATATTCTATACTTAATTTATTGTATATATTTAATATATTTAATTTATAGATTATTATTTTTGTGTCAGGACAGGATGATTTTCAATACTGTATTTGATTTTTGCAGTACAGAAATGATCATTTCCTGGTATACAGTATCATTTTAAATTAAAAGTCACAAATCAAAAAATCTTAATGGCCCTAATATACATGTTTTCTTATGAAAATTTTTTTTTTCCATTTGATTTTGGGGGTGAATTATGACCCCGACATTTCAAGTATACAGAGTAAAAAAGAACAAACTCACATATTCACCCTTTCAAAAAATATTTAAAAAAATAAAACAAATCCCACATACATACCAACAGAAGCCAATACATTCATGACCACCACGCACACACACACACAAACACACATACACATTCCTCTTTTTCGGTCCCTCCTACGCCGACACATTCGTCCCTGTTTTACAATGCAAGTTTGGCAGACTTACAACCCATCCAAATACAAGTAATCTTTGAAGCTGTGCTTCAGTCGCAAATTCAAGAGTGAGCCAGAAGCGTATGACATCTACAGCTCATTCCTTTTCTCACTCTGTCTCTTCAGAGAGCTTTTATGCACCCACACAATCACACTCGCACCCCCTCTAGACCCTCGCTCTCTTTCCGATGGCACAACAACACAATGAAAATGTCTTATAAATCTTATCAGGATGCAAACTTAATTGAATTTAATTTCCTGCTGGCTTTTAATAATGCAAGTTTTCATCCAACAAACTAAAGGAGGGGGAAACTTTCGGCCTGGATACTATTTGGTGGAGAAAATGGGATCTAATTAAGGTATTGAATAATTGTGCAATGTAATCTTTAGGTCATGTTTGTGGTACACCTCCATAGAGAACCAGGGCTTGCTTCCAGGTTTGTTGATGT